GACCTTCAATGAGATGGATTGACAGTGGCTGCAACAATGAGCTCAAACATAGCAACAATTGTGAGGATGGTGCAGGACGGGGCAACATTTCTTTTGTTGTACATGAGGTCGCTACAACATGTTACTCTACCAGTTTACACTCTTCTCAACAGTATTTGAGAATTCTTGTTTTGCCATTTCCTTGCCAATGCTTTATATGGTCAGACTTCTTCATTTTTCCCAATATGATAGGTGAAAGACGTTATTTTAATTTGTTTCTCTAATTTCTTATGAAGTTGAACGTCCTTTCATGTGTTTATGGCCTTTCAGATATCCTCTTTTGTTAATAGTCTCTTTGTATCCTTTATGTCTTTTTCTGTTAGATTATTTTTCTTTTTCTTACTGATTTATAGGCATTCTTTATATATTCTAGATAGGGTTTGGCAGACTGCAGTCCACAGGTCAAATCTAGCCTGTTGCCTGTTTTTGTATGGCCTGTGAGCTGAGGATGGTTTTTACATTTATCTTAAATGATTAGAGGGGGATAAAAGGAAGAAAAAAATTTTGCAAGATGTGAGAATTATATGAAATTAAAATTTCCGTATCCATAAATAAAAGTTTTATTGGAACACAGCCACACTCATTCATTTTAGTTGATTATAGCTGCCTTTGCCGTGCAGTGCAGAGTTGAGTAGTTGTAACAAAGACCATATGGTCTACAAAGCCTAAACTATTTACGTGTACTCTCTTTACAGGAAAAGCTTGCAGACCCCTGTTCTAGATTGATCCTTAGTTGGTGACATTTATTTTACAGATACCTTCTCTAAAAGTCTATACCCTGTCTTAAAACTTTGCTTTTGTTTGTAAGACCAAAACTTCAAACTTCTGTTTAATAGAAGTTTAAAATGTTTCTCAACTTTATTACTGTTTTTTTTTTTTCCTGTATGTTGTTTCAGTAATCTTTCCTTGTTCAGAGACTTTAAATATATTTTCCTGTATTTTCTTGAAGTAGTTTTAAAGTTGTTTTTTTTTTTTTAATTTTAGATTTTCTTTTCTTTTCTTTTTTTTTTGATTGAATTGTGTCCCCTCACAAAATGTGTGTCAACTTGGCTTGGCATGATTCCCAATATTGCGTGGGAGTACGTGTGAGAAAGGGATCTAGTTATTTTTTCTTATATGGAAAAAGCAGATTTCCTCATCCCATTTGTTGTTGAGTAGCCTTTTCTTGCTCCAGGGATTTAAAAGGCCAACTTTCTCATGTATAAAGCTTCTTTGTTTATGTGCTGTGTTTTCTGGGTTCTTTATATTGTTCATTCTTTATCCTTTGACTATTTTTACATTCCATTTGGTCCTAATTGTTTCTGTTATCCAACCACTTAATCATTGTTGTATTCAATTTTCCTAGTTCCTTAGGAGAAAAATAAAAATGTAATAATAGTCTAGTAAGAGCCTGACTAATGACAAGTTTAGGCAACAGAATATAGTTTTTGAATTTTGTGTATTACATATACCAAGATCATGTTATTAACTTTAATAGCATTTTTTCGTAAAACATTTTAATCTTAAATTTTTGTTTTTATTACTATCATTATAATAAGCAGAGTAAGGTTAGGTGCCCGCAAATGCATGGTATTGTGCTAAGTACTTTAAAAAAGCATATTTGTGTATAACCAATAATAACAAAAGTATTATTTAGGCATAATAGAATAAATAACCAACCCATTGCTGTCGAGTCGAATCCAACTCATAGCGACCCTGTAGGACAGAGTAGAACTAAGGAATAGTTCCATAGGATTCCTAAGGCTGTAAATCTTTACAGAAGCAGACTGCCACATTTTTCTTCTGTCAAGCGACTGGTGGGTTCAAATCGCCAGCCTTTTGGTTAACAGCTGAGCACTTAACCACTGTGCCACCAGGGCTCCTTAGGATAAATAAAGTATACTTTATTTGAAAAAAGTAATTCAAGATATATTTAGATAATATATAATCTTTTGGTGTTTTTTTACTTTGGTTTTTTCAGTGAATGGTTATACATTTAAATATGTTTATTAGTCAAAACAAAGAACTTGGGCTTTTTCTTGGGGGTGAGGTTGGGAGAGGTGATTTGATTTTTAGTCTATCAGTAGCTGTCATTCTATCATCTTTGGGAGTAAGAGGAATGTCAGGGTTTATTTTATTTTGAACTGTGCAATGTAAAAGAAAAATTCAGTATCACTAGTGTCTTTGATACTTACTCATCCTCACATACGAGGGCAGGAATTTTGAATGAAAACCGTTTTATCCTGACTCCTCAGTTACAAGGTAGTTGTTTCTCAGATAGGTGCCTGCTGCAGACATTTTGAAGGTAGAGACCAAAAACTAAAAGAAAGCCAATATCAGGAGAACAAAGGAAAGTCTGATTAGAAATGAAGCTAGACCATGTCAAGAATTTTTGTCTCTTCTTATGAGAGAAAAAGAAGATTTAAGGATGACTTCAAGGCTTTTGGCTTGAACGACTAAAAGAATGGAGTTGCCGTTTACTGAGATGAGGAAGTCTGTGAGAGGAGCAAGTTTATGGAGGGATACTAGGACATGTTAAATTTTGAGATGCCTGATTGAAATCCAGCTGAAGATTTAGGATATGTAGGTGGGGTATGTAAATATGGAGTTCATGGACCAGGACGAGGCTAGAGACGTAAATTTGGGGACTATCAGCATATAGATGAAACATAAAACCTTTAGTCTTGTATTGCACATGCAGTTTGCCTTAAAGGCTGTCTCCGGATCCCAAGTAGCCACCGGACTACTGAGGTGAGAATTCACCCAGTGGCACCAACCAGTCCATGGGTGTTATGTTGTTTAGCCTGATCAAGCCATATACACAAGATACTCACCAAATTTTGGCAAATGAAAATCGTTTTAATTACTCACAGACAACAGACAGCATACAAGAATAGTTCCATGACAAACGGTCCCTCCCGGCTCAAAAACTGTCTGAGTGGAGATTGAAAACCTTCTATGTGTGTCCCAACTTTGTACTGTAGGTGAAGGACCCAGAAATCCCTCCCTCAGCCAAATTCATACTCCAGGGGTATGTGACCTGCTGCATGGATATTTTTCCACCTGACAACCCAAGGAGAAGGTGATTAGACAGTTGGGCGCCAGGTGGAATGTCATTACTTTAGCCCTGATAGTTATTAGGCTTGTTCTGATAGTTATTAGGGGCTTGTTCTGAAGCCTAAAGATTCTAGCAGGGGAACGAGTGGAAGATCATGGCTGCCAGGTTTGTTCGAAGGACTGTCTCCTCCCAGTCTGTTTGGGATAATCAAGGGAATTGGTGTAGCAAAGTGTACAGATTGAAAGACTTAGCCCTGGGGTACTCCAGCTTTAGCGGTTGGGAAGGTGAGGAAGAGTTAGCCAGGGAGACTGAGAAAAAGAAGGAGACAGAAAGATAGGCGCAAAACTAGGAAAGTGCAGTGTCTTGGAAGCCAAGGAAAGAGAACACTTCAAGGAAGAGAGAGTGATTAACTGCATCAAATGTTGTTGTTAAGTCAAAAAATAAGAAAACTGAAAACTGGCCATTGGATTTAGCAATGTACATTGTGGGACATTTTGATAAGTGTAGATTCTCTGGAGTGGTATGGGCAAAAACCTGATGGGAGTGGATTCAAGGAAGAAAGGGAAAAGAGAAATTAATGACAGTCATTAGAGACTACGTTTTCAAGTGGAGACACAAAGTCTTTACCATGCTTTGTATTTCATGAACCTACCTTCTGTATTCTCAGTGTTAATGCCTGTATTTACGTGTTCCTTTCCTCTGGGCTGTGACAGTGATCTTTTTACCTATGACCCCACAGTACCTACTTCTATACATTTGTCAAATTTATCTTTTGAAAACACCAGTCAGATCATGTCACTCTCCTACTTTTATTGCCCTTCATTTTCTTTCCCACACTTACAGGATAAAGTTCAAATTGATCATCATGACATTATGAGTATACTTTTTGTGATTATCCTTTTCATGATAATGCCTCTGCCTACTTTCCTAGTTTCATATCCTGCTTCTTCCCCATACATTCTGTGCTCCAGCCATACTGAGCTGTTTGGGTTCCTCTGAGTGCGCCTTGTTCTTTCATTCCTGTCTGGCACTATTTCTGATGCCCCCTCTCATGCTTTAGAAGCTGTGGATTCCCCGGGATCCCAGGCTAATGTGAATAAGGTAGAGGCTATCCTAGCTTTTAAAATCTTATTACATCTAGATAACACCATCATCTTGGCAGTACAACTTTTCAAACCCAGCTTGAGAAATTTTGACTAGTCAGCTTCTCCACATTATACAATATTATCCCAGTTTAGTCCGCACCCCCCCCAAGTCACCAAAATAAAGTACAACCAGTAATAATCAGAAGAGATCAGAGAGTGAACCTATGAAGGTAAACTTTGCCCTCAATTTAGAGATCATCTTATTCTTCTGTACTACTAGTATCTTTTGCCTATAGCATCTGTCGGTTAGCACTGGAGAATTTCTGATGGATCCAGTTCATTGCTGTATCACGGCACCACTTGATCTCTACTAATGTTTCCCAACTTTGACTGCACATTGTAATCACCCAGGGAGATTTAAAGAAATACTGATGTCTGGGGTGTGGCCTGGGCATAAGGAGTTCTAAAATCCTTGGATCAATTTAATGTGTGCCCAAGATTGAGACGTATACGAATCCTCAGCATCTGGTTTCAACTGATCAGAACACCATACATACACACACACACACACACACATACACACATACATGTATACATAATCACAGATACATATATCCCACATAACTGAAAAGGTAAAGTGAAACTCTGGCTTCTTAAGAGTGTCAATCCCCAGTAAAACCCTATGAGTAGATATTATTTTTTCTTTTTAATAGATGAGGAAACAGGAATTGGGATGTTATATTAAGTAAATTTGGTTGTAGAGTTAGTAAGTGCAGGATTTGAAACCAGGCCTGATTCTAAAGCCTGCTCTCTTCTTCACCATTTTATGTCACCTCTAGAGAGAATATAGTTGTTTTCACATCTATACAGACATACCATGGCATGTTGGAGAGCTCTACACACTTTTGGGAGACAAAAAAGGAATAAATTCCAAGGTAAAGTTGAAGTAATCTCTGACTTCAAACTTCTTCCACTTAAGTTGATATAGCTCACCTACATTCTTGGTCCTAATTTAACACAGTTTCCTTTACCGGGAATTTCTTAGTAAGCATAGATATCTCTATAGATAAGCACTTCTTAGATTCATAGAACAATGGAGCTGGAAAGGACTTAGAGCTTGTTTGTTTCGTTTTCTCAATTTATACTTTTTAATGTTCTTTGAAATTGGAACTTTGGGGGGAAAAAAAGCCCAGTGTAATGACTAGTTAAAAATATGATTATAATATAATAAAACTGGTTAAAAATGTAATTAAACATCAACAATGATAAGTCATGTTGATAGTATGTACTCTTGATATGATGTGATGAGAATAGCAGTTTACCTCTGTGGTCTTCCTCCCAAAAACCCATAACCCTAGATTAATCATGAGAAAAACATTAGACAAATGTGTATTGGGATTTGTCTACAAAATACCTAACCAGTAATCCTCATAACCATTTTGGTCATCAAAAACAAGGAAAGTCTGAGAAACTGTCAAAGGTCTAGAGGAGACATAAATACTAAATGTGATATAGTATCCTGGTTGGGACCCTGAAACAGAAAAAGGACATTAGATAAAAACTGAGGAAATCTAAATAAAATGTGGACTTTAGTTAATAAAAGTATACCAATATTGGTTCATTAGTTGTGACAAATTACCATACTAATAATGTAAAATGGGAAAATGAGTGTGGGGTTTATGGAATCTTTCTGTACTATCTTCATAACTTTTCTGTAAATCTAAAACTATTGTAAAAAAGTTTATTTTTAAAAAGCAAACTGTATATATATACACACACACACACACACACACACATACAAAATTGTAGACACCTCATTTTTAACAGCCTGTTAGTTTAGTTCAGTTGTAGGCTGGACTTTTTGTATAGTTATGGTGACACCTTGAAAGCACAGTCATCAACTTTTAAAATACTGACATTATTACTGGTGATTGCTCCATTTACAATTGGCACATTTATTTTGCTTTCCTCATACTAGTTATCACTGATGCATAGCTACATCATGAGAATCAAAACATTTTATGTTTAGCAGAACTTTTCTTGAGCTACATATAGATCAGACTGTTTCTGGGATATTGTGGATGCTAAGGTGAGTACAGATTAATAACTCATATGGGGATGTTATTTTTCTTTTATAGATTTAGAGTTATGTAGATCTATTAAAACCTATGAACTTTTCACCTTTATATTCAGGCAAGTTTTGAAAATGTTTTATAGTATATTTTTTAAGAGCGTTAACTATGGCGCTGACAATATTATGTTAATAAGTTTATTTTATTTGGTGTAGTATGCTTCCTTTTGTCTTTAGAAGAAGAGGTACTGTAGAGGTTTCTACAGAACCAACTCAGTTTTAGGTGGTTTTGGGCTTACCTGTGAAAATTCCTATTGATAGATAAAGGTCATTGAGGTTGATATGGAGGATGAAGCGCACTGGGCTTTGGAATTATGCTGCTCATCTTTTTATAGTGTCAGTTTGTTTGGGTAAGAAAAGGAAGATAGTGGACTTCTTAAACTGTATCTCAAACCATATCAGTAACACAGTTTTTTCTTAAATTTGATTATATGAACGTATTAACTGTAGAGCTGGCCCTTGACAATATAATTCAACAAGTGTTTAAGAATACTCACACTGTATGAGACTCCATGTTGACACTGAAACTACCAAGATGAGAAGACTTTCAGAGACACATTTTGAGCTTCTTACAGTCCAGAGATAGTCACATAAATAGTTAACTGCTATATAATGTGGCAATTGTGGGAGTACAGCTATATATAATGTGTTATGGAAGCATGGAAGAGGGAACAATTAATTATTCCTGGTAAGCATACAGAAAGTCTTTATAGAAAAGAAAAAAAAAGGAAAGAACATTTAAGCTGTCTTTAGGTGAGTGGATGTTGTTGTTGATTATGATGATAGGTGAAGATTCCAGTTATCATTTAATAAGTGTTTACTTTGTACCAGGTGTCATGCTGTGTTTTATGCACATTAGTACAACAACCCCATAGAATATTACTGTATCAGATAAGGAAACTGAGGTTTAGAGAATTTAATTAATTTTCTTAAGGTCACATAGATAGTTTAAAGATTTAGTCCCACTCAGCATTACTGGACACCAAGCACTATTAATACCTGTTGAATACAATTTTATTATATAGTCAAGTAGAGAGAGCTGCGCTTTCGGTAGAGGAAACAGTATTAATAATTGATAGAGAAAATAATGCATTTTCTCTTTGAATATCATCAAGCAGTTTGGTGATGCTAGAATATAATGGGCTGTATTATTTAGGATTCTATGGTTGCAAGTAACAGAATATTTGACCCAGAATTTCTAATACCAGGGATTAGCAAACTTTTTCTGTAAAGGGCCAGATAGTAAATATCTTGAGCTTTGTCACAACTGCTAAACTCTGTTGTGTAGCACAAAAGCAGCCGTATACTATATGTAAATGAGTGAGCGTGACAGTGTTCTAATAAAACGTTATTTATGGATACTGAAATATCAATTAAATGTAATTTTCACATGTAACAAAATATTATTCTTCCTTTGATTTTTTAAAAAATCATTTAAAAATGTAAAAACCATTCTTAGTATTCATTGGTCGTCCAAAAACAGGTGGCAGGCCAGATTTGCCCAGTGAATTGCAGTTTGCTGACACTTGGCTTATATGATAAAGAGGATTTACTGAATAATATAATTGCAGTCCAGAGATAGAATTGTTTTTGTTAGTAATTCAGTGATTGCAACAAGGAATCTGTTGTCTTCCATCTGTCCACATTATCTTTCACAATGTTGACTTCATCCTATGTTTTATTCTATCAATGTTTACAAGATGGCAGCCAGCATATTCAGGGGCTCCACAAATCTTCCCTGACTAAGGAAAGAGAAAGAAGACCTTTTTCAGAAGCTCTTTCTAATCTCTCTTGAACTTAATCCCATCAGGTTTTACCTCCACCACTCCACAGAAACCAGGCTAAATTATCTACATTAGCTAAATTCAGTGGTCAAGTCTTAGTCTTCATATTACTTGACCAATCAACATTTGGTCGTTTCCCCTCTTTACTTGACTTCTATACTCTTCTGGTTTTGTCTCTCTTCTCTGTCCACTACTTCTTACTCTCTGCTGGCTCCTCCTCATGCCCCCAGCCTCTACCTTTTAGATTCAACATCAAGGCTTAGTCTTCTGACCTTTTTTCTCTTTCTCTGTTTCTCTCTTATTGATGCTCCCTTTCTTGGGGATCTCATACAGTTTAAATCTGATTTATATGTTGATGGCTTATATATAAGTATTTCTGCTTATATGTCTAATAGGCATCTCAAACATAATATGACCCAAACTGAGCGCGAGGTACCCCTTTCATCCCTGAACCTGTTCTCTCAGTCTTTTCCATCTCATGAAATTGCAGATCCATTCTTCGGGCCAAAACTATTGGAATTATCCTTGACTTCTTTCTTTCTCTTATTCTTCTGACAGCAAATTCTTTTAACTGTACTGTCAGAATATATCGAGAATCTGACCTCTTCTTACCACTTCCACTGCCTGCTTAGTTCTAGCCTCCATCCATCTTCTGGATTTTTGCAATAGCCTGCTTCTGCCCTTGCCTCCCTTCACTGTGTTCTGAACATAACAGTCTGTACCCCCCCCCACTTTTATTAATTTGTTATAGTAGAGGCCAATAGACAGTCTTGAAAAGAACCCAGACTTCGAAGCCAGGCAATTTTAATGTAAGGATTGACACTTACTGGCAGTATTACTTCTCAGAATCTCAGTCTTAAGTTTAAAATGAGGATAATATTTGTTTCATAGAATTATTATTGTTATGTAAGAAAATATTGTAAAGTACATACTAGCACATTTACCCAGTAGGAAACAGATGCTTGTTCCTTTTCTTGTTCCTGTCCCAAACAGTTGAGCTGTTCTTCATTTCTTCTGGTTATCAGAATGCTTATGTAGTCAGGGAACATCTTATGCATGTACCTCATCATAAGTGGCCTTTGGCTAATAAATAAACCTTTGGCTTATGCTCCTGGTCCTTCCTTTTGCATTTTCTTCAATAGCCTTTATCTTAGTTTCCTGGTGCCGCTGTAACAAACACACGAGAAGTAGGTGGCTTTAAAGAACAGAAATTTATTTTCTCACAGTTTAGGAGGCTAGAAGTCTGAATTCAGAGTACTGGCTATAGGCGAAGGCCCTCTCTAGGGAGATCCTTCTCTCCCAGTGTTCCTTGGTTACTTGGCGACATCTATCTTCCCAGCTTGTGCTTGCTTGTTTCTGTGTCTCTGCTGCTCTTTTTATAATTCAGAAATGATTAGTTTTAGGACACGCCCTACATGATATGGCCTCATTTATTTAACAAAGAAAACTCTATTCCCAAATGGGATTACATCCACAGGTGTAGGGGTTAGGGTTCCAGCACATATTTTGGGGCACACAATTCAGTCCATAACACCTTCTAACTCATGTCTTCCATTGTTGTTATTAAGTGTATAAAATCATTGAAGATAGGGACTAGAGTCATACCTGAATAGTAAAACTTTAATCTGTATATATTCTGTGACTTGCATTTTTAATACCCCCCCTTCTATTATGGTCATATATTTTAAGTTTGTAAAGAAGTATTGAAGATAACCTCCTTCAAAATTTTAATTCATAAAATCTAATCTGATATTTATTCTAGCACATTATTTAGGTGAGAACACTGAAGATGACTTTGGATTACCAAATTCAAGGTCACTTAAGTGGTTTATTTTTCAACTGTAATATTTTGATGATAGGTTGAAGAGAGTAATTTTTAAGTATCATCTAGTTGTAGGAGAGAAAAAAATTTTTACTTGGAATTGTTTAGCCACTTTCTTATTAAGACTTTCTTTAACTTAATTTCTTCATAGGAAATCACTAAAAACCGAATATCCATACTGTATAGTTGCTGTTTCTTTACTAGGACCATTTTAGTGCTTGAATACACCTGAGTTGAAAGCTGTCTACCCTATGAGGTAAATTCTTCTTTTGATATTTTCCCCTTTGAAATAACTGGAATAGGATATTAACATTTCTCAGTTTTGAAGCTGTACTATTTTCTTCTATATAATTTGTAGGATATTGGTGGATTTAATTCAATATGTTAATAAAAAACAAATGTTCTTTGATGATTATCTCAAATCCTGGAAACCTAAGCTCTGATTTAAAAGCTAGCACTTGACTTGGGGGATCAGGTCTTTTTTTTATTTCTGTACCTGTCATATCAGTGAGTTTTCCTCTGTAAATTTCACAATGTATTTGAAGCAAGTCTTTAACTCAAATTTGATGAGTAAATTCTAACTTCACAGACACAGCTCTGTTCTACCTTCTACACTTCAGGGTGAGGTAATCGGTATTATGCAAATAGCTTGGCTTGCTTGACAGCTGAAGGCCTTCTGTTTTGTCCATAAATGTAGATGTAAGTATTCAGTGTGGGAGGTCTTATCTGTACTGAAGGAATTGTCTGTTAAGCAAAGCAAAACATTTGAAATACTATATATCATTGCAGTCTTGCTATTTTGGATAATGCATTCATCAGTTCTATAAGCATACCACAATCACTTTTAAAGAGGTTGGCATTTTTTTCTACACCATCTTGAGTCAGTGGTGAGTGTATTATTTTTTTTAAATCGTTAACTATTTACTTTTATCTGAGAGTTAATCTCAACTCTTATGATTAGTCTGCATTGGAGTAAGACGTGGTTAATGTTTCAGTCTCAGATGAGTGACTTGTTCAAATTTACTGCAACATATTTCTGATTTAATTTTAAAAATTCAGGCAATTCAAACATTTTATATTATGCTGATGTCCAAATTAGTGACATTTTTGTCTTAATATCATTGGCTTGGTGACTCAAAACTATTTCTTTAACCATTTCTTGTGGGTTGTTTTATTGATAGTCTGGCATTCTGCAGATTGTGCAACTTTAATTTTATTTTAAGCTCTGTTTTTTATTTATTTTTCTGCTTTTATTATTTAGGAAGACTGTACTGGTGAGGGAAAATGTCATTGTTTTATTCATATCACTTCTCACTACAACGGCATATTTTGATGTTAAAATGGACAATGTGATACATATATGTAATTACTTTTATCCACGTACAAAAATGAAATTGAGACTTTACGACCTGCCTACATATAAGTGTTGCTTATTGTAACTAATTCCCAAGTAAAGGAGAAGGATACTTGCATTAAAAAAATTAAATGTTCACTAGGAAAAAATTGACTAGGACTATATTTACATATCCTGGAACTTAGTATAAGATGCTATAGATTTCTGATACAGTTTTCTCTTTTGGTAAAATGAATCTTTATTCTAAAATAATTTAGGACTTTATAATACTTATCTCTTTTTAATTAAACCTTTAATGGAAGTATACAGGAGATATAGAAAAGTACATGTATCATAAGCATACAGATAAATGAATTTTCACAAACTGTCATCCAGGTTAATGACAAAACAAAACAAAAATATCTCAGAACATTATCAAAAGCCCAGAAATCTTTTTTTCTCCCTTCTAGTTACTAGCACTCCCCACTCTCTGCTGTTAAGAGTAGCCACCATCCTAACTTCTAGCACCATAGATTAGTTTAGCCTATTTTTAAATTTTATCTGAATGTGATCATACAGTATGTACTTGATTTCTGTCTACCTTCTTTTGCTCAAATTAGGTTTATGAGATTTATCTGTGTTGTTACATATAGTTGTAGTTCATTCTTATCTGTGTGTAATATTATATAGTATGACAAAACAATTTATCGATCCATTTTACTGTTGGTGGACACGTGTGTTTCCAGTTTTTTGTTTTGTTTTGTTTTACAACTATATTTACACCGCAATGAGTGCTGTTAAGAACATTCTTATACGTGTCTTTTTTAAAAATTTTTATTTTTTTATTGTTATAGTTTAAATGAAGTTTACATTTCAAGTTAGTCACCCATACAAAAATTTGTACATACATTGTTATGTGACCCTAATTGCTCTCCCCTTACTGTGACAGCACACTCCTTCTTTCCACCCCTGCTTCCCCATGTCCATTCAACCAGCTCCTAACCCTGTCTGCCTTCCTGTCTATCTCACCTCCAGACAGAAGCTGACCGTTTAGTCTCTTG